AAGAAAGAAATAGAAATAGTAAAAGAAACAGAGAAAGTGTGAGAAAGAGAGACAGAAAAAATAAGACGCGGTAAAGAGTGAAAGAGACGTAAAGCAGACGTAAAGAGCACTAAAGAAAGAGAGAGAGAGGGGGGTTGAAAGAGCGAAAAAGTAAAGGGGCAGCTAAGAGATGAAAGAGAAAGAAAGAGATCGGTAAAGTGAGCAGAAAAGAGAGACTGAAAAGTAAATAGAGAGAAAGATTGAAAGAGAGGGTAAGAGAAAGGGGAAGCACGATGAAGAGAAAAGAAAAACAAGAAGAAAGAGAGATAGAAAAAGAGAATGAGAAAGAGAGAGAAGAACAGAGCGAGAAAGACCGAAAGGGAAGAAGACAAAGTGACAGAGCAAAGAGAACGAAAAAGAATGAAATGGGAAGGTGATAAAGAGAGCTAAAGAGAGTAGGCAACAGAGAGAAAGGGAGCGATACACGGAACAGGAACGAGATAGAGAACGAGAAGAGAGAGAGAGAGAGAGAGAGAGAGAGAGAGAGAGGTAAGGAATCAGAAAGAAGGAGCGATTAATTTTTACTATGTAGTGTAAATTTGCGTGTTTAGCTCTGTAGGTATAACAGAGTACCCGGATCTGTTGACAAGAGTGTATGTTGTTGATAAATTGTTTGCGGGTAGGTGGAGAGGAGGCAGGTAAATTTTAATGGCGTGTGTGATGGCAGGAATAATGGGGAGGGTGTGTGGGGGGTAGGCGTTTCGCAGAAATCGTCCTTGAGGTCATCTGGAGAGGAAATTGTCAATGAAGAATATCGCCCGAGAATAGGAAGGAAAAAAAAACGCAAAAGAAACCAACAAATGAACGATTACAATCGATGCAAAAAGCAGTCAAAAAAGATAAACAAAGAAAAACAAAACAAAAAAAAATGCAGCGTCTCAAATGAACGAAATAATGCGCAATGTTGTATATAGAGCCAGGTAAACAGAAACATTTGACGAATCGTAAAGTGTTTGGTTAAAGAAAACAGAGAATAGGAAGGAATATGGCGGAAGAGCGGGAAAGGTGGAAGGAAAGAAGTTAATGGAACAAAAGGTAATAATAATAATAATAATAATAATAATAAAAAAAAAACAGATAGGTAAAAAATAGATGTAATTTGAATAAAAAACGGTGGGGGGGAATCAAGCGAGAAAAATGGCGGAGTTTGGTGAATGAGATAAGAATGAGAATGAGAAAATGCTGAATGAAAATGAAAAAAAAAGAAGAAAAAGGAAAAAAATAAACGATCTTTGTAAAACAAAAATACAACAACAATAAAAAAAATAAAGAAATGTACGAACAAGAATTGGGAACAGAAAGTAAATTTTAGAAAGCCTTAATGACAATAAGATGATGTTGATGAAGAGAAGGAGGAGGAGGTGAGGGAGCAGTAGCATTAGGAGGACGTCGACAAATAATTCGATAATGATGGTGATGATGATGATGATGATAATGGCGATGATGATGATGGAGACGAGGACGAGGAAGGTGAGGGACGACGATGACAATGCTGCTGCTGATGATCATGATCAAATGCTGGGCGAGTAAGATGTGGAAATATAACGAAAGGGCTATTGTGGTCTTGATGATGATGAGGATCATGATAACTGTAAGGAGACCACCACCACCACCACAGCCACCGACACCATCACCAGCAAGAGCAACAATAACAAAATATTGTTAATAATGAAAGAAAATTACAAAAAAATTACTAATAATTCAAATTATATTTTCAATAATAATAATAATAATAATAATAATAATAATAATAATAATAATGAGAAATAGAAGACGAAGAACAAACAGTAGAGAAAGGGACAAAAGAAGAATGAGAATCAAAGGAGAAAAATAAAAAAAGCAAATGAAAACAAAGAAGAAGAGGTAAAAGTAGGAAAAAAGAAGACATAAGAGAGAAAATAAATAGAAGTAAAAAGTGAAGGAAAACGCAAAGAGAAGAAAAAAGATAGAAAGAGGAGAAAAAATAAAAGAGAAGAAAAGTTAAAAACATAAGAAAAGGAAAAAGAGAAGAAAAGGATAAAAGAGAAGAAAAAGATAAAAAGAGAAGAAAAAGAAAAAAGAGAAGAAAAGATAAACAGAAGAATAAGACAAAAAGAGAAGAAAAAGATAAAAGGAGAAGAAAAGGTAAAAAGAGAAGAAAAGATAAAAAGAGAAGAAAAAATAAAAAGAGAAGAAAAAGACAAAAAGAGAAGAAAAAGATAAAAAAGAGAAGAAAAGAGAAGAAAAGGATAAAAAGAGAAGAAAAAGAAAAAAGAGAAGAAAAGAGAAGAACAAGACAAAAAGAGAAGAAAAGATGAAAAGAGACGAAAAAGACAAAAAGGTAAGAAAAAAATAAAAAGAGAAGAAAAAGACAAAAAGAGAAGAAAAGATGAAAAGAGAAGAAAAAGATAAAAAGAGAAGAAAAAGAAAAAAGAGAAGAAAAGATAAACAGAGAAGAAAAAAGATAAAAAGAGAAGAAAAATAAAAAAAAGAAGAAAAAGATAAAAAGAAAGAAAAGAAAAAAAGAAGAAAAGATAAACAGAGAAGAAAAAAGATAAAAAGAGAAAAAAGAAAAAGAGAAGAAAAGATAAACAGAGAAGAAAAAGATAAAAAAGAAAGAAAAAGAAAAAAGAGAAGAAAAAAAAAAGAGAAGAAAAAGATAAAAAGAGAAGAAAAAGATAAAAAGAGAAGAAAAAATAAAAAGAGAAGAAAAAGATAAAAAGAGAAGAAAAAGAAAAAAGAGAAGAAAAGATAAACAGAGAAGAAAAAGATAAAAAGAGAAGAAAAAAGAAAAAGAGAAGAAAAGATAAACAGAGAAGAAAAAGATAAAAAGAGAAGAAAAAGAAAAAAGAGAAGAAAAAATAAAAAGAGAAGAAAAAGATAAAAAGAGAAGAAAAAGAAAAAAGAGAAGAAAAGATAAACAGAGAAGAAAAAAGGTAAAAAGAAGAAAAAGAAAAAGAGAAGAAAAGATAAACAGAGAAGAAAAAGATAAAAAGAGAAGAAAAAATAAAAAGAGAAGAAAAAGATAAAAACTTAAAAAGAGAAGAAAAAGATGAAAAAGATGAAGAGTGAAGAAAGACTAAAAAGAGAAGAAAAGAGAAAAAGAGAAGAAAAAGAGAAATAAAGAGAAAATAAACAATAAAAGAAAAAGAACAAACAATAATAATAATAATAACATAAATAACAGCTGTAATAATATGATAATGATGAGGTAGAAAGAAAAATAATTATATATGTATTTCGTTTTATTTATATATGAAATACTTGAGAAAAAAAAAAGACAAATGTCGACCTGGAAAAATAATTCAGGTTTCAATAACTTGTTTCCCTTCTCAATGAATAAATATTTCCTAAGATTGTAGGGAGAAATTCCAAAGATTTTGTTAACGTTCTTCCTTATTTTAATGAGTCCAGCTACACAGGCTCGTACGTTGAAGAGGCAGAAGATGTACTAAACACTCAGACATACAGAGAGACTGCCAAATAAGACGGTTCTACGAACATTTGAGGACCTACTAGGATTTATTATCAGTAGACGTAAACTTAACGCGTCCTGGGTATAACGATAAACTATGTCCTGCAGCAAGGCCTCTGATCAAAAGGTTTTGAGGAGCGTGAAACCACCTCTTAATTGCTGGTGTTCCCAGGGCCACCTTGATTTGGGGTGGTAGCACCTGTTAGGGTCCCACCTATGGGCAAATAGTTAACTCCCAAATGAATACAGAACACTATGAAAGTATAAAAATACTTTTTTATAGTAAGAATACCAGCAATACAGCATCCTGGGTAAGACGATAAACTACACCCGCGTCCTGGGTATGACGATAAACAACATCCGCGTCCTGGATATGACGATAAACTACACCCGCGTCCTGGGTATGACGATAAACTACATCCGCGTCCTGGGTAAGACGTTAAACTACATCCGCGTCCTGGGTATGACGATAAACTACACCCGCGTCCTGGGTATGACGATAAACTACATCCGCGTCCTGGATATGACGATAAGCTACACCCGCGTCCTGGGTATGACGATATCTACATCCGCGTCCTGGGTAAGACGTTAAACTAGATCCGCGTCCTGGATATGACGATAAACTACATCCGCGTCCTGGGTATGACGATAAACTACATCCGCGTCCTGGGTAAGACGATAAACTACACACCCGGGTATGACGATAAACTACACCCGCGTCCTGGATATGACGATAAGCTACACCCGCGTCCTGGGTATGACGATAAACTACACCTGCGTCCTGGGTATGACGATAAACTACACCCGCGTCCTGGGTAAGACGATAAACTATGTCCAACAGCAAGGCCTCTGATCAGGAGGTTTTGAGGATCCTGGAACTACATCTTAATTGTTCTCTAGTACACCCTGACCCGGTGTGGCAACACCTCTTAGGGTCGCAGCTATTGGAAAATAGTTAACCACCAAACTGGGATCAAAACACTATGAAAGTGTAAAAATAGGTTTTAATACATACAATAAATTTTTGTAAAAAAATATTACCAGCAATGAATGTTTGAAGAAAATAATTATTACCATCAATAATTTTTTAGGAAAAAATATTACCATCAATACATTTTTGTAAAAAGATATTGCCAGCAATAAAAATCTTGTCGGCATTACATAGCCCATTGATGATGATGTGCCGTAACACAAAACAAACCAAACCAATATATACCGAGATAGACAGATAAAAAATACTGCAAGCAATAAAAATCTTGCCGGTATTAAAAAAAATCCCATTGAGGTTGATATGCCGTAAAGCAAACCAAACCAAACCAATATATACTGAGATAGATAGATAGATAGATAGATAGATAGATAGATAGATAGAATATTGCAGGCAATAAAAATCTTGCCGGCATTAAAAAATCACAGGTTAATATGCCGTAAAACAAACCAAACTAAACCAATATATACTGAGATAGATAGATAGATAGATAGATAGATAGATAAAATCTGTTACCATCAATAAAAATTTTGTTGGCATTAAATAACCCATTGAGGTTGTGTTATGGTCCGGTTCCTTGTACCACGGTGATAGTTCAAGGTAAAACCAATAAAGAACTCGAACACAGATATGTAATAACACAGATATATTACAAACAGGAATATATACAGAGAAGTAGAAATTGTTAGTACAAACAATCAGGTTTAGTAGTAATTGTCTGAATGCGACTCTGTTTCGGACTGCCTCTGACTCGACTGACTGACTCGCTCGCTGTGACTGACTGACTCCTGACGGACTTCACTCCAGCCTTCAGACTGAACTCCCTGCTTTCTCTTATTACGTATGGAATATTCCATTGTGTTCTTATGGGTAAGGTCCTATAACACCCTCCTTCCGAAAATTTTGCGTAGCAGGGTTTTTTTAATATCTTTTTTTCTTTGGATCTATTTCCAAAGGCTCAGTAAATTTTCTTTTTCTAGACGATTTTCTTGCCATTATTTGCGGTCTTGTTATATCGAATGTGTCGAAAATCGTGTCTAATACCTCTTCTTGAGTTGGACCGTTAGCATCCTGTAACGGTCTCTTCCTTATTTGGTTTACGTGTCTTCTGTGTGAGAATTTTTTTCCTTGAACCATGTACATCATATTGCCAATTATTTTCTCAATTATCCCTTGTTCCCAGCAAGAGGTATTATTTTCGTATGCCTTAAAAAAAACTTTTTTACCCTGGGAGGAATTTTCTTTTTAGTGTGTAGGACTGTGTTACTTGTTTTGTTTTACTTGGTAGTAATTTATCGAACGCTGATCTGATTTTGCTAGCAAACATGATATCTGCTGGTGATAATGTTGATGGTGTAGAATTATTTGGCGTTATTCTATATACCTGTAGGAATTGCTGTAATGCTTTCTCCGTAGGCACATCGTACGCTTTCCGTAATGCTTTTTTGAGAGTATCCACGAATCTCTCCGCTTGTCCATTTGATCTTGGATGGTAAGGCGGTGATTTTATATGTTTTACTTGATAGATTTTGCAAAACTCTTGGAAATCTGCTGACGGAATTGCGTTCCGTTATCTGTTACTAAACAGTCCACTACGCCAAACCGAGCGAATAGCTCGTGGAGGACATTTATGGTCGTTTCTGTAGTAGGAGTTTTGCACCGAAACACCTTCGAAATATGCCAATGACAATACTGTAGCTATCAACTATGATTAAATAGTAGAACCCGTCAATTGGTCCTGCATAATCTGCGTGTATTCTTGACCATGGACGATCAGTTTCAGGCCAAGGCTTATGTATGATTGGCGGTGCTTTAGCTGCTAAATTACAACCCTTGCACATTTACACCATTTGAGAAATATCCTGGTCTATATTCTTCCAATATACATAGCTTCGCATTAGCGACTTCATTCTATTTTTACCCGGGTTATCCTTTAGTATCCGTTTTTGTAAAGTTTTGGGGATTACAACCCTTTCGTTGTAAAGTAGCACATTATCGCATAAAGAAAAGCTGTCCGAAATTTTCTCATTTTTTTCTGCTATTTTTGCTTTTGCTTTATAAATTTATAAATTCGTCATTTTTGGCTTCTTTTTTTATGTCTTGCAATGTGACTGGGAGGTTTCTGACTGTACAACATAGTACTGTCCTTATGTCTTCTAAGGGCTGGGATTACCGTATCTTACAATGGCTCTGTCTTTGTTGGTATAAGTCTCGACAGACCATCCGCGTGCCCGATTCTTTTCGTTGGTAAATATTTCAATCTGAAATTATACTTCAGAAGAATCGTTCCCCATCTAAGTAGCCTATTTGCCGGGTAGACCTTTTTTTGAACCAAAAATTTTTATTAACAGTTTGTGATCCGTCTGCAGAGTAAAGTGTCTACCATAGACTTATCTATGGAATCTTGTTACTGCGAAGTTAATTGCTAGAGCTTCCTTGTGAATAGTTTTTCTCCGCTGGTAGTAGGGTTCGAGAAGCATGTGCGATAGGTTTTATTGTCCCATCTGGCATTTTATGTAATATACACGCTCCGACACTGTAGGCGCTCGCATCACTTGCTACAATAATCTCTAGTTTAGGATCATAGTATGCCAAAAACAAATCCGATGTTAATGTCTTGATTATTTTTTCAAATGATTTCCTGGCATTGGTTTGTCCACTGCCAAACTTTTTATTTCTTTAGCAGTTCATTCAATGGTTTATGGATTTAAGGTATGAATTCCTGATAGTAATTCACTAATCCGAGAAAACTTTCTAGTTCTGTTATGTTCTTAGGTACTGGCATCTTTTTTTTATTGCTGTAGACCTTTCAGGGTCTGGATGTCTACCTTCTTGGTCTATTATATGTCCAAGATATTTAATTTCCTTCATGAAAAAAATTACACTTATTTTCTTTCACTTTGAATCCGTAGCATTGAATTCTCTTAAACACTTCTTGTACATGTTTCTACTTCAACGCTTTCGCTATTAATCAATATGTCATCCAGATATGCTATTGTGTATTCTAGTCCTGCCAGCCTCGTATCCATTGTCTACTGGAAAATAGCCGGCGCTACTTTAATTCTAAATGGTAGTCTTTGGTATCTGTACAATCCCTTGTGTGTGTTTATGCATAGCAGTTTTGAACTTTCTTCATCGACTGGAATTTGCAGGTAGGCCTCACTTAGATCAATTTTTGAAAAATATTTTTCGCTATTTAATTTAGTGAATACTTCTTCAGGACTAGATAGCGGATAGTGGTAGTCCTTAATTGCTGCGTTCAAACCTGTAGAAAAATCAGCACAAACTCGAAATTCTCCTGATTTTTTCTTAACGTAGACCGACGGTGCGACCCATTTGCTGTACTCTACTTTTTTCAATATGCCCGTATTTTCGAGTCTAGATAATAATTCTTGGTCAATCTTTTCTATTGACGCAAACGGTACACTCCATTTTTTTCTTGAAAATAGGTTGAACGTTATCCTTTATTTTGATATTAGCTGCCATTTTCTTGCATCTTCCGAGACCTGCCGAAAATACTTCGGGGAAACTCGTTTTTAGTTTTCCTTTTAATTTGTCTGCCTCGGTTGATAAGCTTTTTACATTCTGGCAGTAGGTGCTAATAGGTAGATCCCACAATTCGAATTTTTGCATCCAGTCAGTCCCGAATAGGTTTTCGGTATTTCTTAAGACGTACATTTTTAGTTTTTTCGTCATTCCGTTAAATGTTACGTTTGTGATTATTTCACCATCGAATTTTACCTTTCTTCCCGTAACTGATCTCGCAATTTTATCCGTTTTTAACATGACAGGTTTGTTCAGTTTTCTTCATGTTTGTAGATTTATGATAGTTAAGTCTGAGCCAGAATCCAGCTGTAACCTAACTTTTCTGTTTTGCGTTTCAACTTGTACATATTTTCTTATATTAGTCTCATCCGTTTGGTCGGTCCTCGTAATTCTTATTCTGCTTTCTTTTCTATACCAACAGTTAGAACTTTTGTGACCAATTTTTTTTACATGATAGACAAGTTTTAGCACGATATGTACGGTCTTTATCTCAATGCCAAGACCCACAACAATAGCATGGACTTGGTAGTAGTTTCTTTTTATATTGATTATAATTAGAAAATTTTGTTTTACCTGTTCTTGAGGCGGGAAAATCAGTTCGGTTTGTTTGTGAGGAGGGAAAATTTGTTTGTCTTCGTACTTTGCGTATGTATGCTATGCCAGCTTGTTCTATGTCTTTAGAGTTTTTTTTACGCTGACGCATCTCTGGCAGTCTTCGGCTAGTTTTTGAAGTGTCAGATCTTGTTCATTTTCCAATTTAGTAAGTATTCTACGTCTCATTTCTGCTTCTTTGGTTGAAACCAGACCTTGGACGTAAATTAAGCATTTGAAGTTGTCAGCGCTGAGTTCCGATGGTTTGAAGTGGTCACAATATTTATTAACAATAGATGCGAAAGTTACGTAATCTTCGCTATCCTTTTTTGTAAGGTTCATGCATTTCCATCTTTTATGAAATAGTGAAGTATTATGTCTGAAAAGTTCGCTTAGCAATTTTATAGATTCTTTGAACGTTAACTCGCTTGTTTTTCTGGGAAGGATATAATCAACGAATTTGGTATATTCGCCTGTGCCTAATTTTCTTAATAAAAGGCGTACTTTACGTGCGTCTGACCAATCTTTGCAGTCAAAATCATATAGATCTTCATACCTTCGGAAGTAATTTGAAAAAGTTTTATCTTTGTCGGGTGCGTACTTGAAATCTTCGATATTACTCCAAATAGCGTCTTGAGAGAGAACTGATTCGTTCTCGGGTTTTTGCTTCTTATTTGCCATTGCACATATCAATAATTCTTGCATTTCTAGATGTTTTTGTTTGGACCTTTGTTGTTGTTCAAACTGGATTTTGATATGTTCCATAATGTTTGACTTAAAATCTTCCATGTTAACGTATTTTTTTGTGTAACCTAATATTCTGTGCTCGCAACAAAACTTTCCTTTGCTGTCAGTGAAATTTGATATCAAGAAAAGAAAATCCTTTTTTTTTTTAGAATTTAATCGTCATCTACTGTTAGGTACGACGGATAGCAAAAAAAAAATTATGTCCTCCGAGTAAGAAGTTTATTTTTCTTTATAGGTTTTCCAGATCGCCACTTGTTATGTGTGACATATAGCAAAAAAAATAAGTCCTCCGTGTATAGAGTTTGTATTTCTTTTTTAGGGGTTCCTTCGTCGTGACTTGTTATGTTGACGAGAGATGATTTTTGTTCTTCACGTGAGAGTTCAAATTTTCGTCGCCACTTGTTATGCCCGACGGATAGCAAAAAAAAAAAAAAAAGGGTATGTCCTCTGCGTAGAGAGTTGGTTTCCTCGTCGCCACTGTTATGCTGTGGCAAACGAAATTTTTTTCCTTCCACCGAATGAGTTCGAATCGCTCGTCGCCACTGTTATGCTGTGGCGAACAATTTTTTTTTCTCTTCCACCAAATGAATTCGAATCGTTCGTCGCCACTGTTATGGTCCGGTTCCTTGTATCAC